GCAGATGTGTGTGCTGGTCGAAAGATCATATATGATTACCTTTGTATGGGTCCCCTCACATTGCTCAATCCCAGGCAATGAGAAGGCGGACTCTCTCGCAAAGGTGGGCGCGCAGGAAGGTGAATTGTATGACAGGCAAATTTCACACGATGAATTTTACCATTTAGTGCGTCAGAGTACCTTTTCGAGTTGGCAAACCGATTGAGACACTGGAAATCTTGGACGGTGGTTACATTCAATTATTCCTAATGTTTCTTCGAGAGCGTGGTTTAAAGGCTTGGGCTTAAGTCGTGACTTCATTCGCGTGATGAGTAGACTTATGTCCAACCACTACTCGCTAGATGCTCATCTCAATAGAATAAACCTCGTGGACAGCAACATCTGTCGGTGTGGAAAAGGTTACGATGACATCGAACACGCAGTTTGGCAATGTACGGATAATGACGCCGCCAGAGAGCGACTTTTGAATACCCTCGAGGCACGTGTTGGCAACCCGTGATCTCTGCTATATGCAGTCCGTTTATGTTTTTCTTCTAATGTCTAGTATAAGAATTTAATTCCTTTTGTCTTTTGTCTCTCTTTATTAGTTTTTGTTTGTCTTGTCCCCCCGTCTCGATGAGTCTCATCGTCGCCCACTGGTCACCCACCATAGCCGGTCGAACTCCGGACGAAGCTAGAACAGCACTACCGTTCATACTGGCGACAACGCTCTGATGAGACAACGAAACCCTACCCCAAGCTCCTCCCCTGATCCTATCCTTCGAAAATGTACCCTTCTAACCTCGAGTAAGCCGCGAGTAATCGGCCCAACTCCTACTAGACATAGAATTAAGTGAATTTTGTTACACACAGTGAACAATGAATTATCGGCTCCGTAAAGCTAACGCGATTGAGCCTTCCAAATAAACGAACTAGATAAAAAAAAACTGATCCATCTCGAGCGCCTGTCGGTCCGAAGAGATACAGCAAGGGCATTGCTAAGTGCGGATATTTTGCAAGGACGCACCGATTGCCCTGTCCTCCTTGAGCACATTGACATCAATGTTCAACCCCGAGCCCTACACTGCAAATACAATTCACGTAATACTCACCTGAAAAGGTAGATAGATATTTTCCATCATACTTTTCAGGTGAATATTACATGTTTTGGGAATGAAATGCTGTTTCAAGAGATTCATCATCATACTTTATTATAATTTACATAAAACTGTTCTTTTTAGTAACTGCTAAATTTGTCGATTTTTTATCACACGGGCTATCGTTATTCGTTTTTTTTTCCGTTCGGTATACCTGTAATATTGTACTGGTTGTTAGTGGAAAGTGCAGTTCGTTGCGATAATCGTCTAATTAGAGCATATTTTGTGTTGTGAAAACAGTGAAAAAGTTATCTAATCAGACATATTGTAGTGTATACTGTCTAGCATTGGGCTATCTTGAGAATCCAATTCCTCTTTGCGTATTAGAGCATCTCCACCGATGTTTCTAAATCACTTTTGGAAACTGAGTCAGCATGACTTCCGCCTGTGACCAATGCGCTAAACCAGTTGAAGGCGATGAAGAATCCGTCTCCTGCATGGCTTTTTTGTGACAGGATGATTCACCTAAAGTGCGGGTGCAGTTTCGAACGCCTTTGGATACGGTTGTGTTTTAAGTTTGTTCTCTGTTTTGTGCGTGCGTTCGCTCTCATAGTTTTTGGCTGCAATTGCCGGATTATCTCTGGCGCTCTGCCTCCCGGACGTTTATACGTGTGTAATTATTAGTTTTCTCGCTTTCCGGGAAGTTTTAGAATAGAGAAAGAAAACGTGATTCAACATGTTTGCAAGCGTCAGAAGAGATGTCGCGATCTGCGTTGTTTGATTTTCTCCCGGACCAGAAATTAGTGGCATCGCGAGTGATAATTTTTAATTTCAGTTTATTTACGCGCTGCTAGGTGCGTGAAAAAGCTCGGCACAATCGGTGTTGATGTTGGCTCGCTTGTAACTTTTTTTGTTGTGTTTTGGAAAGAAATTGATCGAAATTGTACCAAAAGTGCTTCTGAACGTGTTTCGCAGTTGGGTGTGGTGAAATTCGTGAATTCGCGGTTTATGTTCAGTGAAAATTCCGTGTCACAAAATTGCTCACCGACTTTCCTTGTTTTGCCGTTCGACGACGAGAGAAAAATAAGCATCGGGAATTTGCTCCCGGATGTATTGATTTGGTGAGTACGTTCCAGTTGAAGATTGTTCTTATACATATCTTGATTGCACTTTCGAGGGGACGTTCGGAGAGCTTTGAGATTTAGGCGTTGTTGCATTTGCGGGCAGATGAGTTGGTCGCCGGTAAGGGCCAGTAAGTGCTGCCAGCAGATGAATCAAGAGGTATTCGAAACAAAATTGATAAGAAATGTCCATTCAAATCGATTTAATACAGTTGAACAAATTTCAAAACTATATACGAGCCAGATTTGGAAATAATATTTTTTGAATCTGGAAGTGTGTTTATGATACCATTATCCATTTGATAAAGGTAGAGTAAATATGCGGGGCTTATTGTAAGTAAAAGTGACCTCGGAGTGGTCGTGAATTACCAGGCATTCTGAAATGGGTCACTGGAGCTGCAATAGAGCTAACACCTTCTAACTCCCGGACTAAACCTGCTTTAATTTAAGGATAATAAAAAGCAGTTTTCTTCCATAATAACACTGCCGGACAGTGGGGGTTAGATTGTACACACACACACACACACACAACTGTTCTTTTTAGTAACTAGCATGTGTATCAAACTTATTCTGTTGCACTGGCTGCTGTTAAGTTGATTGTTTTGCATTTGTTTGCTCCACAATGCTCTATAAAAATTGATGCTTCTGAATAAAGTTATAGTTGGTTATTGGTTTATTTAAAACATTAACTTTGATTCTTACATTTATTTTCCTCGAACAACTGATGACTTCGAAAAGGACAGCATCACCCCTATTCTGTATTCCGTTCGAAACGAAATTCCCATACAAAACAATATTTTTTTGTATGAGAATTTCGTTTCGAACAAAATACAGAATAGGGGTGCATGTCTCCAATAGACGTCTTTTTGTTGTAAGCACTTCTGTAGTTCGGCGATTAAACTTGTGAGGACTGCTCAATCCGATTTTACACTCTTCAATTTATTTTGGGTATTGAAAATCAGGATTCATATATTGATATTAATCAAACTTACACTCAAAAACATTAAAAATCCCCAATCTCCTAGTAAAAAAAAATCGCATATTTTAATCTGCCGCCATTTTGAACTAACAAATACGCAAAGACAGTTTTAACATCATGAGGTCATTTAAAATTTACGTGAACTTCACTTAACATTTATCTGTATGACACTTGAACTCCATCAGTCAATCTAGTGGAATTCATTACCATGCTTTTGATATTTATGTGCAGCATGTAATTCTTACTGGATTTCTATTTTTGAAAGGTTACCTGATTTTTAAAATTCACTTATCTTTCCGTTCGATAGGGCATAGAGAATCCAAGTTGAGCCGCCAGAAGCAGTTTTGCATTTTCAACAATAAACGAATATTTTGCAACCCCTTATCAGAACTAACCTTACACATCGAAAGTTAAATAAATTTGGAAGTCTTCTGTAATAATGACATTCCGTTTGGTGCTGAACTATGCTAGGTTAAGGAAGACTAAGTGCGGGTTGTGCTTAATAGGCCACATTTTTTCGTCCTAAATACGGCTTAGGACTACCGTGAAGGTAGGTTATTCCGCGCACTTCACTCGAGAGTAAAGTCTTTCTCCCTACAGGAACATTGGGAAAAGAGAAAAGTTACCGTCAAATGTATCACTTGAAAGATTTTTTATCGTATTTCATTAAAAAAAAATATGTGAAAACCAGTACCAAAATTTCAAAATTTGCTCCGCAAAATGATGTGACAGTGCATATAATTCCGCGCACTGATTCGAGCGATGTTTGTAATTCCGCTCAATAGTGCACCTAATTCCGCGCACTTTTATTGAACTGAAATTTATACTCTATGCTGGTTTTTAATTTGCTGGAAAATCGTGCATCACTGTTTTCATTGAACGGGTTGTAGTTTCCACACCCAGGAACCCTTATTCCCAGTTAATAGGAAGCTTAAATAAGGAACCGCGAATGAGGATACCCACAGCTTATGAGATTTTAACTAATTGGGGCTGTTGTTGATTATCTCATTAATTTCAATATGTACTGTCTGCTGTGCTGTACTGTCTTGGATAAAGTTGTTGAACTGGATTAGACCAACAAGCTTGTGCCATTGGTTATAGGTTTAATTGGAAACTACGCCGCTAGAGGCACTTCAGTTTCATATTACTTATAACGGGCGCCATAATATATGACATTTGGGTCCAACACCGAATATCTCGTGATCGTGGCCATATAGAAAGTTGCCGTCTTGAGCAAAGTTATTCAGGTGATCAAGTCCTTTCGGATGGTAGCCATACTAGTTCAGAACTCTCTCAGTACGCGGCACTAGCGTGCATTTGAACTTCCTATATAAGCTGTTTCTCGAGATCCTGGCCATGCAAAAGGTTACTGTCTTCAGCAATGTTGTTTAGATTACCAAGACCAAAAACCAAATTTAGTGCAACTTGGTTAGCATAAACCGACGAGAGCTTTTTCCAATCAGAGAAAACCATTTTTGAAATTTGCATTTACTCACTAGGTCACATTCACCTTAACATGAAATTCTGATGAAAGCTATTTAGGAATTCACGCGTAAATACCTATAGATATCTGGAACCATGTCTTGTCCGAACTTTTGAAATCTTGTATGTTATGGATTGGAATGATCAATGCGAAAATTTTCCTTCTTATAAGCATTAGGTATAATGTTCTTTCGAGTAAATAAGGTATTTCGCGACATGTCGTACAATCAAACCCATCTACCGTTGGATGCTTCTACCCAACTATTCATTACCCATTACCGTACAAATTTTCAATCAAGTCGATCATCAAGTAACATTAAATTACTCTTTTTTTTATTTCAGCGAACAAAGCTATGAGAAGCAATTCCTAAAGGATTTCATCTATGTCGCAGCCGGATCACCCGGGGCTCGTCTGGCTGCATGGCTTCAGCCAGAATCGCGTTTGGATCCGAACAAATGCGAAATAAAAATGTCACAAGAGCCGTTACGTTGCGGATGGCCTTCCCACTTCATAATCGAAACACGCGACCAATATGGAGATGAAATTTTCGTACCAGGAATCAAGGTATTTTGTTTTCTACAACAACTGACAGGTCTGCAGAAAACCTTACGAACAATTACAATTATTTTAGATTGAAGTGAAAGCATCTCTCGGTAGCAATCTCATTTCGGAAAGCAATCGTAAATTGCACATGAAATCACGTAATGATTCGCTTTATTTGGGAGGTGTCGCCTTGCCGCCGAAGATCAGCTACGAATGCACCTTCAAGGAAAAGGAGAAAAGTTGCCTAAAGGCAATTACCGCAATGAAACCCTATCAGCCGTATTCGTTTGAAGAGTTGCGCTATTGCAATACGATCCAGAGTAAAACAACTGAGATGCTAACCGCAAACGATTTGGGGAACAACACCTACGGCGTATTCTGGACGCCAAGTGTGCCTGGAAACTACAGCTTAACGATAACGATCGATGGCGTCTGTGTGGAAGAAATTTATCGGGTAGATGTGATTGATGCTGGTTTGCCACCGCTATCGCAGGAGACTACACTGAAAAAAGTTCAACCTCCTACTAAGCTACGCAAATTTATTGCGAAAAATTCCGCTGGTTTACGGGTCAGGCTGCACCCTACTCTTCAGTCGGATCAGATTGGAATCGTTAAGCTGAATGGTATTGTCTCCTATATTGATGAGGTAAGCAAGTCGCATTCTAAAATGCATACAAACTGCGATTGATATGCGGTGGCGCAATGGAAATTTAAATAAATATTTTAAATACCTTGCTTCTTCTTTCTGGTTTATTTCGTTCCTACTGGAACTGATGCCTGCTCTGCCTTAGTATTCTTTGTCTCTACCATTGTGTGTAAAGCTCATACGAGTCCGATCTGCGATTATGGGCAGTTTATATGTGCGACTCTAGATAAACTGTATCACTGTTCTCCTTATTTCCTTTATGAGGAGAAGGCATAATTTTGGGATCAATGGTTTACACTGGTAGAATAATTCAGATTAGGTACACTAGTTGGAGTGATGCTTTCATACAGTAGTTGAATTCACAAATATGTATTAAAGCATGTCGTGAAATTGTATGATGAACTAACTTTCAAACAGAAAATTGGCTGTGTCTGGCTAGATTTTGTTTCTATACCTAAACCTATTTCTCTGTAGAGGAAATAATCGGATATCTGGATGTGATGGGTGGAATACACGTGATTCCAATGATAAACAAGATTGGTTGCGCCACTGTTATGCCTTACATAATTACCATTAACCTATTGCTAATTTAGATGGAAAACGACGATGGATTATGGGTGCGCTTATCGACCGAGTCGATTCGCGAGCACTGTACTTCCAGTTGGTTCCCAACGGAGGCTTGGTGCTTGCAGTACAATCAACATCTAGGAAAGACGCTCTTGCATCCGATTCTGGAGTCGAGCTCAACCAAAGCTTTGATGGAACAGGTAGATCAAAGCAGTCCCACAACTTCTGATGCTAACGAAGAAAATGAGAACACTATTGATTATTTTGATTTTATGAAGACGGATCGTCCCACCGATGAGGGATCGTCTGCTAATGATGAGGAGCCAGCAGCAGTCAAAATGCTTCAAATTACGGACGCAACGGAAGATAGCTCCGCAAGTGCAACGAATATCAACATTGCAAACTTGAATCAAACCAATATCGGGGCAGCTATTGCGGGAGTGGTCGGTGGAGGCGCCAAGAAGATGCAGGCTCTTCAAAAGTGGCTCAAAGGAGATAGTTTCGATGAGAATGAATCTCCTAGGAAACGTAAAAGTGAAAGTGGCGACATGAGAGGCAATGGAAATAGGTCCTTCGATCGCAGTAGGAGCGTCAGTCCGGAGATATTCTCATGTATTTAGAATGGAATTTACATCAACTAGACTTATTTATGACTATTGTTCTTTTCAGTGCGTCGATGTGACTCTACCAGTAGTACCAAATCAGATGTTTCTAAAAACATACCACCCAAAACTCCACTTAGACCAAATGAAAATACAGATGTATGTTTGTCCGTCCTTTAACTGTTGACAGTAATTGCAAATAACCCAATTTCAGGACCGTAAATCGACGGAAAATTTAGCGACACCCGATCCTGGATTTTCCACAGGCATCCCTTTCAATAACAAATCGCTGAAAATCGAATCCAAAGAGTTGCCCAAACGAGCCCTTTCTCCGTCGATTGCGGAAACACTTCGTGCCGTTTTCTCCGCTTTTCTGTGGCACGAGGGTTTGGTCCATGACGCCATGGCGTGTGCATCGTTCCTAAAATTCCACCCTAGTATTTCCAAGAAGGAAAGTGAAAATATGCCTGTTGGGAATCCTCACGAACACTTGCTTACCAGAGAGCAAAAGGTTCTGCAGAGACATTCAGTGGAGATATCGAATGCGGGATCTTATTTGAATATACGCCCATCTACACTGGAAACGCTAGCAAAAATTGGAAACTGTTGTGTTCATAATCGAAAACTGCGCAATCGAAATGTAATTGTTTAGATGTTTATCAAATGTCCATGTTTTATGATTCGAAAAAAAAAACACTTATTTTAGGCGGATATCTTCTCATCGAAGGACGGCGAGCATCCTCAACCAAGTGCTTTACCACCAGCGCTCCGTTGTCTCGTCTATGTCTGGGACCAGCTGTGTTGCAATTTTATACATTTGGTGGAAACTAATTCAAATGATAAGGAAAACGATTTGTAAGCCTAATTTGCGTTCATTTAAGAAACGACACTAATTTAGATGAATTCTTCTTTTAGTAGTTCCCTCAAGTCAAACAAATCCGGTGAGGAGAAATCCTCCAATGCAACGAAATGCCCTGCGCAGAAAAAAGTAGAAGACGGTTGTTGGTGTGAGCTTTGCGATGTATTTCTGCCCATCCCTGTGACGTATCATATGCGAATCGTTCATCCTGGTTGTGGAAAGTATGCCAAGGGGAAGGGGTACAACTCCATCGGCGTGTACTGTGAAGGGTGGGCTGGAAACTGCGGAGATGGTGGTCAGGGTGTTTCCAGTTGGTATCTGATGTGTGAAAAGTGCAAACAAAAGTAAGTATTCGGAAGTTTGAACCTTTGAGATCCTAATGATACATTTTTAAGGTATGTGAATTCAGCTAAAGTTTCCAATAACGTTAACTACAACGGAGTTAATCCGATTGGTAATAAAACAGAAGGAGGCTCAAACGTTTTGTTGGGATTCGGGGCAGAATCGACTATACCTTCGGAGCTGTTCACTATAATGAAGGAAAACTCGTTTTTTCTACTGGAACTTAATTCTTATAATGGAGGTACGTATCAAAATACTTTCTGCTGGAAAACTACAGCGGATTTATTAACTAATGCAATTCTTAAATTTTAGGGCTCATTAATAAATCTTCGAACAATGCGTCGGATGGCACTGCCCTTCAGGAGCAGTCCAGCAGCAATCGGTACAAAGCTATGGATTTAAATGATTCATATGATTCAAGTTATTATCTCGACGATAAGAACATCAATAATTGGACTGGAGGAGGTATGTTATCGAGTGCGCTCACAAGGAATACATTGGCAAAAGTAAAGACGCCATTTACCGCTCGACCTCCCTTACTTCAATTTCGATTTTCTACACATCCGCACAAAATGATTTTTTGCAATTTTTGCAAGGCTTCATTTTGGACAAAACTTGAAACACCACCATTTATACTTTCATGGGTCAGCTAGCATTGAAAAACTATTGGGGTGTGAACACCAACAAAGTTGTAGCTGAGAAAATGTAAACTTCAAATAGTTTGTGCCAAACCAGTTTCTTACTAAATGAGTTCAAATTTTAAGAGGCTTATCAGAACCCAATTTGGAACCGTTTGAACACTGTGGAATACAAATTTCAAATTTTGCATCAGTACACGCTCAATTCTGTTTTACGCGAAAGTCCACATTTTCGATCGTTTGATCTCAAATTGCTACCAACTTGGTTCAAACAATATGGTGGTATTAGAATTACTGTACTTATCTTAAATGAGGACAAAATCGCGTAAAAACAGATTAAACTGTACACTCAAGAGAGTGGTGAAGGGAGGTCGAGCGTTGTCGGCTATCGCACGTTATATACTTTACGTTTACATAAATCATTTAAAAGGCATTTTGAAGAAAATGAAATAACTTGCTTGTATTGAACAGAAATCCAATAGGGTTAAAGTGCCAGTTTTGGCACTGCTGCTCACGTTATTAGTAATAAATCTAATTTGAAAATGTATCTTGACAAACGATCGTAAAGTGTTGGAAAGCTGGAAGCAGTTGTTCGATGAACACTAGTAGCGGAGAACCAAGTCAGAATGAGGAATGACTTCATTGGTACGGTGGATGAGGGAGACTGCCACACGATGTTTATATGGCGAAGCTTTATAACAAAAAATAAGCATCGCTAAATCTTTCCCCATTTGAAAATATAACTTTTAGGCTTTCATTTTACACCTGTTTGAAAAATAATCACCGAGGAATTCAGAACATTTTTTTTGACTGTGAAATTGAATTATTAGTTGTGGATTTTTTCATATTTATTTTCCGCCAACTTCTGATCTGCTACATAAAGGGTGTATATCAGCCCCATATGGAAAAAGTAGGCATTAAGAAAATGGCAGACGAATTTACGAAATTAAACTCCCATGTAAGTATTTAAAAAATCATAGTAATTTAATTGATAAATTTTACATGTTAAATTCAGCTGCAATGAAGCTTGCATATTTTGTTATAACAACGAAAAATATGGCAATTAAAAAAACAGAACTGTAACTTGATATATGGAGGGTTGATTTTCGGGATGAGACTGATATACGATTACATTGCTTGATGGGACAAACTGACTTGATGCTGTTTTCACATTTTTCAGTAATAAAAGCTGATAATTTTTTCACATATTATAAAAGTTGATGCCAATTGATAGTGGATAGCGTTATCTCAAAATTGACGTAAATCCATATGAGACCGAAATGCGATTATAAGTAGAACAGCGTATTTATGTTTAGCGTGCACTTTAAAAAATAACAATCGTTGATTTCTGAAGGTGTGTGTCTACGAAATCTCTTGCCATTTTTAATTTTGGAATTTTGCATTCAGCCATCTTAAAAGGCTAACAAGCAAGAGAATCAGCATTTTAAATTCTGTCGTGTCTTTTTATTGCGGTAAAGTTACATGGAAATTGTATGAAACCAACAACGCTGCAGTTGTAGCCAAAAATTAAACCCCACCAAATTCATTATACTTCGGTCATTTTTTTAATATTGAACGATCATCGCGAAAAAGCTCAAGAATGATCCAAAATAAGTTGATAATGTGAACAAAATTAAAACAAAATGGCGTACATTGTCAAATTACTTAATTTAACAATATAATAACGTTTGCATTTAAAAAAAATGGACAAAAATTTTCGATTTTTCATGGGTTTACCTTCACCCGCACTGACGAAACTACCCATGCAGCATCAATCATAGTAACCCATGAGTCAGCAGACAAAATTGTGATGGCAAAAACAGTGAAGCAACTCCGTTCAGAAGTGTGCGCGTTCAAAGACCGGCACCCCGCTGCGTCGAAAACGTACATCGTGCGGCACTTAGTGGACGCTAGATACGCCCGCTCCGGCATCTACAACATCTTGGCACTATTAGACAACAATCAGAGCATCGAAAGAAAGCCCGGTTCCGGGCGGCCGACGACCCTGAGCGACAAGAAGCTCCAAAGGATGTTGAAGAGGAAGACCGAGGGAAAAGTGGCTACATCGCTGCGTGCGCTTGGTCGGAATGAAGCGGAAGTCACGACCACTGGTTTCGGAGCTGCAAGCAATGACGCAGCGGCAGCGGCTGAATAAGATGGTCAACTCGTTTTTCCCGGTGAATCGAGACGTGGTGGTGGTGATGGACGACGAGACCTATCTCACCCTGGATGGCAACGACTGGCAGGGCACTTCGTATTTTACTTCCCCCACGAAGGAAGTGAGCTCCGAGGTGAAGTTCATTTGACACACCAAGTTCCCCAAGAAGGTGCTGCTGTGGCTGACAATCAGCGAGAAGGGGATGTCAAAGCCGCTCTTCTTTCACTACGAAATGCCTGCCGGAAATTGCGTCGTTCATCGTGAAATACCATAAGGGCGAAGACGCGGTGTTCTGGCCGGATCTGGCGTCGGGCCACTACTCGAAGCGATTGTTGGATGAGATGGAGCGGCTGAATATCGATGTGGTACCCAAGTCGGCGAACCCGCCCAACGTCCCCCAGCTGCGTCCCATCGAGCATTTGTGGGCCAACCTGAAGCGTAAGATCTACTCCAACAATTTTGTCGCGAAAACTGAGGAGGAATTGATTCGTATTTGTCAAAGCATATAGTGAACTCAATAATATCAAGGCTCAGCTCCCAAAATAACATAAAATAGATGATCAATGTATTAGCATTATTTTTCTACACTTAATTTTGTGTGACTATTTTTTGGCTTGGTTCACCTTTTATGTGCCTGCAACCGATATAAGGAAACTAACTATTTTTAGACCTATAAATTAAGCACATCAATACATGGGCTAGAACCAACGACATAGCTCAGCAGAACTTTGATCAAAATTAAATGTTTATGCACTTAATCGACAACTCAGAAATCGAAATTTATTTGCCATAACACATCATCGCACAAATTATGCAAAATTTGGGCCATTAAGCATGATGGCGTCTTACAATCAATAATGCGAAACCATTAACTTTTCAATGCCTCGGCATAAACTAAAACAATATTTTAACGCCATACGGAAACATAACTCGTAAGAAGTAAAAATAGAATAGCAGATAGGGAAAATGGCTCTAATGTTGGATTATGGATCTAAGGTGGGGCCATCGCTAAAAATCTGCTATTTATCAATTTTATCTAGATTAACGCGTCATTGGGACGGTACTAATGGACATTTTTGGTTGCTATTGAAAATTTAGTCGATTGCTGAATTTATGTAATTAGGCCGACAAAGATTTGTATATGTATTTGTACTAGAATACTTCGGTTGATGAATAAATATAAAAATAATACGGTTATAAAAAATAAAGATATAACGCCTCTTTCCTTTGCATCTTTGCTCGCCCCAGTCAAAAAAGATTCAAGCCGAATTCTGTACGACTCATCATCGGAGCTTATGTGGCCCCCACCGGAAATGCTGTCGTGCCTGGAGACTCTTGGTGCGAAAACCAATAACGATTTGACCTACGATCTGTTGGGAATGAATATGGCTGATATGCATGCTTTTGATTTCAAGGTATTTAGAGTATGAAAGTATGTTCATTTAAAATTTAATTCAGGATTATCAATTCATTGCTCAACAGGTTATCGAGGACGTCTCGATGGAAGTGACTGATTCTTACATAAAAAACCTTCAAACATCACCTGCCATTCCTTCGACCAGTAAGTTCCATCGAAGTTTCTCGATGGGTCAAGGATGGAACACACCGCAGAATAAGCTCATTAGTGACTACAATCAGCAGGGAAAAGTTGAAATTGGAGTGAAAAACGAGGGCACTCCGAACGTTGTGATGAGGCGCAAAAAGCAGTGCACGTGTACGAGTGGAGACTCGAATTTACTGAATTATCCTTCGATCAACCTACAGAGGCTTGTACCCGAACACCTTCTGAACAATAGTTTTTCCAAGGAATCCACCCCAAACAATAGAAGTAAGAACAAAGTCAACAGCAAGATTAATGATAAGAACAACATTCAAACCAATCCCAGAGCAGCTATGATGACAAACGGAAAGCGACCGGAAGACATTAACTTTTCCGAATTTCTTGAACTGTATCATAATACATCACGCGAAAATAGTGAAAAGGTTAAAAACGCAGACGAAAAATCGGATGGAAGTGGTTCGAATAGTTCTAACTCAGCATACAAGCTAGATGTGCAAGCTGGAGCTCTATCACTACTTAACCGACCCTCGATGACCTTCATGCTAGAGAAACACGATTTGAAAAAACTGCGTCACTCGATGACGAGGAATCTAAGAAAAACTGTGTGCAATATATACAGTCTACAAGCTCTGAATTGGCTGTTACGGTCGGTTACTCAGCCCATCGGGCTACATGATATCATGTGGTGGTTTATATCCTCTTTGTCGTATTCCACGCATGACAATGAAGACGACCCAAAGCTGGATGAAGGCGTGCTTGGTCTTGAACATCCAGGATCGAGTCAATTCAATGGTCCACTATCTCAAACCTTGTCGCAAAGCCTTCATTGCTTGTTGCAAACTGTAGCAGATCTAACATTGCTACTACCATCGGGGTCATCCCTGCAGAAAACTGCCGTCCAATGTTTCGGTCTGAAGTTCAAACAGTCCGATCATCAGTTTCTCCATCGTTCGCATGTTTTTGGTAATATTTCAAAAATCCTATCCAAATCAGAAGAACAGAACGACGACAATCTGGTTCCTTCTATGGCAATGTTGAACTCTTACTCGAATGCTGCGGATGTCTATCAGGATGAGCTCATAAAGATAAGTTTACTGGGTGATATAACGGAGATATTCGATGTAAGAACAAAAATATCGTCAATTTTAAACTGACCCATTAATACTTTTTTCACTTGTAGCTCGTTGTTTCGTCTAGACCTGCTCTGGCAAATTCCCTCATCGATAACTCGACGGAAACGTTTTGGGAAAGTGACGAAGAAGATCGTAATAAGCCCAAAATAATCGAGCTCACCATGAATCGGACAAATTATCAGTGCAAAGTTATTTGCATACATATCGACAACAGTCGTGATATTGGGGTGATTTGATTATTCAAAATAGTGTCAGAAGAGTAACTAATAATGTAATGCGCTCTTGCAGAGTAAAGTCTCCAGTATTCTTCTGTACGGGGGAAGTTCGTTCGGTGAAACATCTTTACAGAAAACAATCGATGTCGACCCGTTGACATGCTGCTGGATATCTGCTCCGGTTTCCGACGACGAATGTTCGCATTATCGGTTGGAGTTTCGCGGTCCGGAAGCAACACTCCGTGTGCGGCAAATCAAGCTGCTTGGATACACTGCGGAGGATAAAGCTGCCCAGTTTAAGCAACATTTGAAATCCACAAGTGCAAATTACATCCAGCAGAAGAATTGCGAGACGGAAACGTTGAGGGTGTTCCGATTACTCACAGGACAGGTAAGAACTATTATACTCTACACAGACGGATCACAACTATTACAAGCATAATCTGTTAACTATGGGGTCAGGTGGGAGAAAAAGTGACCATAGAATTTTACAAACGGACCATATACAAAATGTTTTTTGGCTCGAAAAAAAATACCCTATAACATATTTATATAAATTTAGCATTTCTAAATATTTATTACATGGGAAATACCACAACAAGAAAACAAATGTGCCACCGTAGATTCCGTACACAGAAATACAAGATCCAGGATTATGAAAAATTCCCAAGATTCTGAGACTTTGATTGAAAACAAAATTCAATCTGTTCAAGATTATGGGGCTAGAAATGTCATAAAAGTGTTGTTTAAAACCAACGAGAATCAAAGTGAAATTAAATTCTGAATATTAATAATTACTGTCACTGTACCACGCGCATCGCATCCATTGTGTATACGTTGCGCTGTCAAACCAGTGCAGCATAACAATAATTTGTGTAATATTGCGATCCGATACAAATTGAACCGGAACACGGAAAGAACTCTGACATTTGGTTGGTTAAGGATTCCAACAATTTATTCGTTTGATGAAGAGTCGTTAAGAGCTTAATCAAGTGTAACAATAAGAAATGTGTGAGCTCAACATTTCAAAATCTGAACGTGTCCCAATAAACAATCGCCTATTGAAGAAACGACTTCTTAACGATTTTATTCAACTGCATGCTTAATAATAGTTGTATTATTTTTAATAAAAATTTCTGTTCAGGCTTAGTTCACACAAATCTGGAGAATTTATTCAACCACAACATTCAACAGCTTGGTGGTGTATAAGGTATTTCAAGAAGCTTTTATTTAACTTGAATGAGTTGTAACAGAGCTTATTCCATAAAATTTTTGATTATTCAGCGTTTATTAGACATAATTGCTTATTTAAACAGCGATGCTGTATATACGCTTGGATTCTCATGTGAAGTAACGTTTCATTACACTCTATTATACATTTATTAAACGATTTTTCAACTGTGAGAAAATTAACCCGAAAATAAGAACGGTAGACGGTTGTTTCATTAGTGATTGTTTTAGTTTTCTGAGGCGGCCACACACCACACAGATATTAGAAAATGTATTACATACATACATACATGTCGTTGTATTTGATTCGAACCATGTATTTTCCGATCATAAGTCGTTTGCCTTGCCATCTGAGCTATCCTACACTGAAAAAAGTTTTCATATAGTTTCCATTGGGAACGCAAATGATATTTTTCCAATAACAAAATTGTCACAAAATAAATCACATTAACATACATCACATATGGTTCATGTGATTTCGTGGTGCGATTCCCAATTATGAGATCACATGAAAGTTATGTGGAATAATTAATCTAATACGTCGTTTATAAAGCATTTAGAACATGCGATTACGACATGGACGCATAGTGGTATAAGAGCTATTGCTATTATACTAAATGTATTCACCTTTATGCAGCAATATTGAAAAGCAATGCAATGAAATCTAATAATGGAGCTAGAAAACATTAATTATAGACGCCTAATAAAGCATAATAACATCAATTGAAAAGTGTCGAATTAAAGCGTCGATGTATGTGTAAATTACACTTTTTCGGTTTGTTAATAGATCATACTTCTGGTGTTGAATCGGGAAGACAATCAACATTTATGAAGCTTTTATAATACCCCTCACCATCCCTCTCCAACGGTGGAGTTTGGTAAAGAGAGATGTTCAAACCGATTTGGACCTTCCTAAAAAGTTGTCCTTGCTCGTCTTCTACTCTCTATATACAATTTTCACGCTGCCGTACTCTAACGGAACTATCAACTCTATACTTTCATCTCCACATCTATCGTATAAAAATTACCACTTTAGTCTGTTATTTCAAATTAGCATCTTCAACTATGTAAATCGTTGACTTCACGCAGAAGTAATACAAAAAAAAAAACAAATAGTTAAAGCACAATGTCTCTCAAACAGCTGTTTATCTAAATAAAAAAGTCTAAAACTGTGAACTGCAAACTTTATTTGCAGGTGTTTGGCAAACTGATACTCGAAAGCGGTAAGCACTTCAGCTACAACGGAGTGAACACGCCTACCTCATCAAAAATCAACGAATCAACGGTCATTTCCTCATCCACGGAGTCTTTAGATTTGCGAGAACACATGGTCGGAATCCTGTTCAGCCGTAGCAAACTGAGTCATCTGCAGAAGCAGATCATTGTCCATATTGTACATGCCATTCAGAAGGAAGCCCTACGCTCTCGAGAAGAGTGGGAGCATAATGTCATGTTCAGTGCAGATAATGAGACGGACTTTGAAGAAAATCTCAAATTAAATGACACCTATTGCTTTGAAATGTTGAGCATGGTGCTGGCTCTGTCCGGGAGTGCCGTCGGACGTTCTTATTTATCTCATCAGCATGGTTTGCTGAAGGATCTCTTTTCGCTGTTACACACCGGAAGCGATCGTGTCCAGCGTCAGGTTACTGCTTTGATCCGACGTATTCTACCCGAAATCTCTCCGGAAACATTGTGCGAGTTACTTAGTGTCGATAAGGTTCCAGAGACAGACTTCAATCTACTCAGTCAAAATAACGAGACGTTTAACATGAATAAGTAATTATTCCTAAGTTACTCTTATACATTTAATTCATCATATAAAACACATTTCTTCCATAGATGCGGTATTCTCGATATCTTTCTAGCGGTTATCGCCAAGGCTCTTCAGGTGCAGATAAAGGTCAAGAACAATTCCAATAAAAATCCACCCACAATGAAGCTGTGGCGCTACATGAACATTTGCAAAATAGACGAGTACGATAAGTCTACGCTGAACAAGCTTTCGATGACCAATTCCCAGATTAGCAACGTGGATCCTGATCGTCCGATGACGCTCACTACAAGGGACAGTCCAGCAGCGGAACAGTACGACTTTGAAGTTTCTTCCTCGGAATTTCTTGACGAAAAGACGACCGATGAAAATTCAGTCGATTTCGATGCCATGTCCAAATCCAAGCCGGGTATACGAGTCGAAGCCGCTATCAAGCCTCGCTGGTTCCTGAACGGAACCATTTCATCCAAACAGGCGGAAAATATAATGATTTTGATTCGTGACATGGCTCATGGTAAATTGTCGGAAAAGTGGTCTCTGATTACGAAGGCTGCTATCGCAGAATGTATCCTGAATATTACGCGACTGTCCGATGTGTATCGTGTTCCGGAGACTTGCATGACAACCCCAACGCTATGGCTGGCGTTGGCTAGCTTGTGTGTACTAGATCGCGATCATGTGGAAAAGTAGGTTTATAAGGTCATGTTTCTGGTAGCGAGTGGTGCAATTTAAGATGGTTGATATTAAATTTCAGGTTGTCATCCAGTCAATGGTCGAAACAGTCAGAATCGCGACCGCTTTGCTCCAACCATGACGATGATGTTACGTATGCCATGATTATCTGCAGCCTTTGCGGATCCCTGTGCTCGGACTGCGATCGTTTCTTGCATTTAAACAGGAAAACCAGAAACCATTACCGCACGGTAAGTTTGCATTAATTAATTGTACCTACCAAACATACTGGAGAAGGCTAAAAATATGCTAGGTTCTTGTTTACTTACTTTACTTTTGCAAAGTTACGCCAGCTAACTCGGTTCGTGGCTGCTGGTCTCCAGTTTCTCGAGCGCCTCATACTTTCTAGGTTCTGCTTTACTTGGTCTAACCAGCTAGCCTCTTTGTATTGTACCGGTCGTATCCGAGTCAAACACCATTTTCGATGGATTAATGTCCTGCATTCTTGCAACCTATGCCACTTATTATACCCTTCCAGCTTTTATGACATTCTGGATACTGAGTTCGCCGTTTACATACACCCCGCCAAACATGGTTCTAAGCTCGTGTCGTTCGAAAACTCACAAAGCTGTCTTCGAGCATTGTCCAAGTTTTGTGTCAGTTGAGAACAACTGGACTTTAGTACGGGACGAATATTACCAGACCTAAAAGGTATTGTGGTATCCGTAGTAAACACGATTTTCGGCAATCATACGTATTCACATTTCTCCGCTTCAGTTGTTATCTGACGTCACCAATGATCTTAAGTACACAAATGCATCCATCAGCTCGAACTCTTCTTCTTCTAGGCTTTTTTACGCTTCTGAAGCGAGCGTTTTGTCGGCTTTCTATGCCAAACAATACATGAATTATCACGCTCAAGGGAAGTCGAGAAAATTTCCAACCTGAGAGATTTCCTCGAACGGACCGGCATTCGAACTTGACGCTTGATAATATCGTGCATTTACTGACTAGCCTATCTGAGGCCCCGCACAAATACCTCAAACTCACCTCCGTCGATTATCACATTTCTGCCTGTGCGAGCCAACAGACACTTAGTCTTCGACGAATTCACCTTTAATCCAACCTTTTCTACTTCACGTATCAGCCTAGTGTTGTACCGCCAGAATCGTTTTTTTTTTCGACAATGTCCACGTGGCCCATTTTAATAAGCTCCATTGCGGTATAATCCTCACGGCTCCTTGTTGTTCTTTAGCTGTTTGATACCATTCTTAACTTCACGTATCGTGGGAGTTTGCATGTTTCCTTCGTTCGCCGTACCGATAAAGCCATTCCCCCTGCGCCATTCAGGTGTTCATCGTAGTCAGCTACTTCCACCTTTCACCGAGATGAACTAGTCAACGGCTAATTTCACCATGTTCGTCCTTCAAGAAACTTAAATCCCTATTCCGACCTAGTTAGGATCGCGATACAAATCCTTAGCGGGATGCGTTGAGTTTCTCGTAGAACTGACGCTTCTCTTGAGCTCTTGGATGCTTTGACACTACACCAGCAGGTTTTGGTCAGCCCTCCCTCATCCGGGAACGCTGCTTCGAGGTTTTGCGCATAAGCCTTAGCGACTTCGGGTAACTTGAGTCGTTCCGGTGGTACCGAATGTTATAGACAACGGAATGGCTTTGGAATACTTTACCCGTGCTAGAAATACATGTTTGCACTTCGGTAGAGCCATATCTGCAGAGTGCTTTCCATTAATCAAAACATGTTCACAGGAGTGCTTTTATATGGACGTGTGCTTGTTTCCCGAATAGAATATGTTCCACATTCGAGAAACAAGGACAAAAGCTTTCTATGTAAGGCGGAGGGACACCGGATGAGTTCCTGTCCCAAGCGGAAGCCTCGGAAACAGCAGCAGCAGCTTGGAAAACAATCGGATGTGTAAAAAAAGGGCGACTAAAGAGGCAGCAGTATCTACGCCGGTGTAGAGATTGACGCGTTGTTGGACAGGAGCAGCTAGGAAACAGAAATAGTGAAAATGGACGTGGTGTGCCCGGAGACTGAAGCCCAACAGTCTGAACTCGAACTGACTACAGAACATTGTGCGAATCTGGTGGCATATCAAGCAATGGAGAAGAAAGTGACATTGGAAGAAGAGAAAAAAAAAATGGAAATGAAAAATAAAGATCTCAATAAATATATTGAAAAAAATATATACATATAGGGGAAATTGATGTAATGTCGGCCTAAATTCCCCTAATTTGGGCCCATACATAAAGTCAGTAATCGAGTAAATTTTCAATAGCGACCTAAAATATCCATTAGTACCGTCCCAATGACGCGTTCATCTAGATAAAATTGATAAATAGGAGATTTTTACCGATGGGCCCAATCTTAGATCCATAGGTCAACATTATAGCCATTTCCCCTAAATATTGAAAGATGAAACATGGCGGAAGATAGAGAAGCGATGAGAAGTAAAAGCCGCGTAAGAGCAGGCGAGAATCAGAGAAACCAAGAACGAAGCCCGTCAACGGTACTCGGCTTGGGTGGACTCCTTGACTGACAATAACTGCCCAACAAACAATCGCCTTTTGAAGAAACGACTTCTTGACGATTTTGTTCAACTGCATGCTTAATAATACTTGTACAATTTTTAATAATAACGTCTGTTCAGGCTTTGTTCACACAAATCTGGAGAATTTATTCAACCACAACATGGTGTTGGTTAAGGTATGACGAGAAGCTTTTATTCGACTACCATGAGATGTAACAGAGCTTATTCGATCATTTTTTTTCAGCGTTGATTGGACATTTTTGCTTCCTTAAACAGCGATGATGTATACGCTGCTTGATTATCATGTGAAGTGAAGTTTCAATTAGGAGTGCAGGAAAATTAACCCGAAAATAAAGAACGGTAGCGAAAGACAGAATTATCTTTTCTCATTAATGATTGCTTTCATTATTTCTGACAAAGCACGCACCAGCACAGATCTAGATTATTTTTTTACATACATATACATGTCCGTTGCATGGGTTTCGAACCATGTACCTTCCGATCACCAGCCGCTTTCCTTGCCATCTGAGCTATCCTAGAATACATCATATGGCTCAATATTCAATAAAAGCTTGCTTGAAACTGAATACCTATAAGCACTCCCTATCATCCCAAGGTCCAGTGGGAATCATTAATTCATTCATCGTTGTTTTACATGAGACCAATTCTACCTCTTCACCTCTCCAATTCTCAAGGATTAAGGGTAATCTAGATAACTAAATCAATAAATTTGTTGTCGTGAGTGATGTGATCGATGATTACGATTGAGAACACAAATAAAAAAAAGGGTTGAGCTTGGGATTGAACTCGCGACCTTCTACTTGGAAAGCGGAAATGGTAACCACTACTCTACTGATTTCTTCTTGTTGTTAAACTGAATCAGTGTTGTGGAATAATGAATCTAATACGTCGTTTATAAAGCATTTACAAAGCATGCGATCGCAACATGGATGCATAGTGGTATAAGAGTTGTTATGGTGACTGTATTCACCTTTATTCAGCAATTTTGTAAAGCAATGCAATGGAATCTAATAATGGAGATAGAAAACAAATATTAGACGTCTAATAAAGCATGTTATTAAATCAATTCAAAACAGCCGAATTAAAGCGTCAATTTATGTGCAAATTACGCTTATTCAGCATGTTATTAGATCAAACTTCTTGTTCTGAATCAGGAAGACGGTCAACGTTTATAAAGCTTTTAATAAGTAAATTAATCCTATCAGAGCAAACAATGGAATAAAGGCGCATCTATCGATCTCAATAAGCTTTTATCAGCTCATCCTTTTTTATTCAGCATAGTACACTGTTATACAGCAAATATTCAATATGTATGCTTATTTGTGACTTTGAATTGTTTGTTGGGTGGTGATATTAGAGTCCTGTACGGTATCTCATGACGTCTAAGGGAAGCAAGGGTGAACTCAAGAATGCCTGTACAAGATGTGACTGGTTAATTGCTTACTGAGTAGCTGAATCGATGATTTGAGCACTTCGAATCACTTCTTCAAGTTTCGACGACCAACTTACCATCAACATCTCGGCATGATCCGCCAAGGGTTCGCCCCATTGTTCACGTCAACTTCAAGGCTCACTGCAGGTGATAGAAGCAGGTATTCGAAACATGAAATCCAATAAGACTTCCGGTTCGTTCGCATATCAGCAGAGCTCAAAGCTGACCCCACGCTATCCGCACAAATGTTGAATGAATTATTCTGTAATATGTGGGACACTGCGACTTTTCCGGATAACTGGATGCAGGGCGTCTTAGTTAAGATTCTAAAGAAGGGGGATCTGACTGTTGGCGACATTGACGAAGCAACATGTTACTGTGTGTTGCTCCCAAAGTTCTGTGTAAAGTTATCCTGAATCGGATAGATCGGGCACCCTGTATTTAGTATTCATTGACTACGAAAACAGCCTTCGACCGACTAAATCACTAAAATCTGTGGGCGCTCTGAGGCGTTAAGGGCGTCCTGGATAAAATCGTCAACCTCAGTGAAGCGAAATACGAGCCTTTCACGTGCTTGTGCGTAACGCCCGTCTATCACTATGGAGCACGTCAACGATATCGATTAGGTTGATGATGTTGCGCTATTTGCAAAACGGCGCTCTGATATGCAGAGTAAGCTAAACGGCCTAGTCGAACGCTGTCTACGGCGGGTCAAACCTTCAAATCGTTGAATGTCATCACGGACAACTCTTCCAACTTTACGGTAGCAGGGCTAACAGTGGAGAAAGTCGAAAGTTTCCAATATCTTGGCAACCTAATAGCGTCATAAAGCGAAACCAAGAGCGACATAGATTTATGAATCAAGAAGGCTAGGGCTGCCTTTGCGAGTTTATAAAATATTTGGAGGTCAAACCAGATAAGTATGCGCATCAAAATCCGAATTTTCAACTCGGATGTAAAATCTATGCTGTTATACGGCAACATGGTGCGTATAAGTGGAGAACACTCAAAAGTTGCAGGTATTCATCAATCGTTGCTTGCGTTATATAATTCGGGCCTGGTAGTCTCACAACTGGGTCGCGAATCATTCCTAGTTGAACACTCAGTCGGTTAACAACGTCCCGGTCTCAGTCGCGCGGCATCTAGTTTTTTTCGGTGTTTTTTCCGCCCGAGCGGTTTTTTCACCCCCCCCATTGGGTGCCCCAAGTGACCAGTGTGCAACAGAGGAAGTGGAATTCCATGGGCCG